GGATGCAAACGATACTGGTTGGCGCGCCAGAGCGAAGAATATCCCGCATCCCGCGGTGTTGATTATTTGGCTATTTCCCGTGGGAAAGGGAGGGGCTTCTTTCCCTCGGCTATGGAGTGTCGGTCTCGAACACGCGCCAAACAGAGGCGCCTTGAACGCATCCGACAGAGACGTCTCGAAATCAGCCAACAGAGAAGGCTGGAAAGCAACCAACAGAGGCGTCTTCGAAACAGCCGATAGAGACGTGAAACACGGCATGTGCGCGCTCAAGGCCAACGTGTGTGCCTGTGAGAGTTGCATGCGTCGTGAATGGGGACAGACTTACCGTCGATCAATGGGATAGCACAGCTTGTGCGCGTGGGGCTGACGCGAGGCTATCGGAAGCGCTCCAAACACCAAAACCGCTATAGTCTACGCCTACCGCGCAAGAACGTGGACACCGATGACGCCGTAACCAATGACGCCCCCACCGCAACAAACGACAGAAACTCCGAACAATCACCACTTAGCAGCGGTGGCGGCAGCAGCAGCAGGAATCTAACACCGTGCCGTCACCTGTCCACCATGCCGCTCCCCCCGAGTGTCCTTCTTGTAGGCGTACTGCACCGAGATCTGCCGGTTGCACAGGTACTGGTTGTGCATGCACTCGATCGCCTTATCGCTCGCCTCGAACCTAAAACCCGCCAACAGCAATCAAACGGAGGTGCATTCCGTCAGCGTTAAGCAGAGGCGGCGGCGGCGATGGCGATGGCAGCAGCCGTGTGTGGGAGCAGCGCTAACGGGGGTGGTGCCAGAGGTAGCCAACCGCAGCTTCAGATATCTGATCTTTACCATAAAAAAGCCCAGAGGCAGCAGGGCCAACAACAACCCTGCGCAACAAAAGCAGTGGCAGCATCACCATCGCAAGATATGGACAGAGCAGCATACTAGAGGGACAGAAACAAAAAAAGCAACCAGATCCGGAGCACCGACTATAGAGAGCGACAGCCGTGGCGGCGGGCGCATCAGCGGCAACACCCACAACCCCGACTACTACTAGCAGCAGCTGCTGCGGAAGCAAGCAGGAGCATGACCGTGCGGAGGGAAAGCGAGCAGGAGCAGCAGCAGCAGGAGCAGCAGCAGCAGCAGCAGCAGCAGAAGCGAGATAACGGAAAGCCTAACCCGCCCCGTGGGGCACAACCCGCCAAGTCCATCGCAAGACAGCAACAAAAGCACAAGCCCGTGTCTGGGTACCTAGACGGGCGCGCCTTTCCATCATATTTCGCCCTGCCCGTCTGTCTTGTCTTTACGATATCTCACCCGTCATAGCTGACGAAGCCGTAGCCCTTGGACATGCCCGTGTCCGGGTCCCTCATGACCTTTGGCGTCTGCGTGATGAATCCGAAGGCGGAGAAGGTGTCGTACAGCATCTTCTCGTCCACGTCCGGGTCTAGCTGCCCGATGAAAAGGTTTGCTCCCACGTCGTTCGCCTGCGGAACGTTCCAGTATAATATACGGTACGGCGCGCCATCAACATCTGGGTTATAGGAAAGACTGATGGAAAATGGTTCGCTCCCACGTCATTCGCCTGCGGAACGGTCCGGTCAAGTTTACGGTACGGTGCGAAATCAACATCCGGAATAGGGAAAGACGATGAAAAAAGGCGCGCTCCCACGTCTCGCGCCTGCGGGATGTTTCCGGTAAAATATACGGTACGGCGCGACCAACATTTGGGTCATAGGAAAGACTGATGGAAAAGGGTTCGCTCCCACGCCATTCGCCTGCGGAACGGTCCGGCAAAGTTTACGGTACGGTGCGAAATCAACATCCAGTATCGGGAAAGAGCGATGAAAAAATGCTCGCTCCCACGCAGTGCGCCTCCGGGATGTTACCGGTAAGCTAACAGAAAAGCGCGGCATCAACATACGGTGTGGGGAAGAATGATACAAAAGGCTCGCGCCCACGTCGTTTGTCTGCGGAGTATTCCCGCACTTTATCCTGCGGTGCGGAATCAACATCCCGATACGGGAAAGGTCGCCTCAACCTCGCCCTATTCTTGATTTGGACACGAGTTGTCTATTGCACACCCTCACAAGCCGAGCCTTGAAGGAGAAATCGACCGGCACGCCCCAAGAGGGGGGGGGGGGGGGGTTCGAGGATGGAAGCAACTCCGTGCCCCCGGCCCTGTCGCAGCCGTCACGGCGCAAATTGCGAGGAGCGGGCTTTCTGCCCAGCTGTCCAAAATACACCCCCGCCCTGCAAAAAAAAAAATCTAGATAAGGCCGTAGGATACACAATNCTCCCACGACCCCGCTGGCAAGGTGCATCCGGAATGTTCAGATAGGCTTCGAAGCAATCTCAAGTCCACGACCCGCTGATCGTTTCGGGAGTAATATAGCACGCCCGAATTTCTCGACTCACCTTTCTGTCCTGGGAAGCCTTGTTGACGCGAAGGGGCTTCCCGAAGAGCTTCACCATGTTCATGATCTGCCCGGTTGGGTTTACAAAAGAAAAGGGGGGCGGTAGGGTCGAGGCGCTAATCTCTCCCCGCCAAAACAAACGAAAATTTCCCCACAAACCGCCGACCAAAAAAAAAAACGAATCCCGACAAGTACATCGACCATATATCGTACGGAGTAGGACGGAGTAAATCAGAAGAACTGTTGACTCAGGCTGATGAGATAGCCCTGCCTCAAACTAGATACCTTGTGTGAACGTTGCGACTCTCTAGCGAGGTTCAAGAACGAGGTGACAGCAGCAGCAGCAGTGGCAGCAGCAGCAGCAGCAGCAGTCGATTCAACACACATCCCCGCCTGAATGCTCGAAAGCGTGTTGTGAACCGAGAACAGGCAGGCTGGCACATCGAAAATGGCACCCCTCACCACCCACAACAGCAACAGCAACAGCAACAGCAACAGCAACAGCTACCACTACCACGGCACCTCCACCACCTATAGTGTGTCACAGGAAGCAAGGCACCGATCGATCGATTTATCGCGCTTGCCCTCACCTTGATGGCGTACTCCGCGTCGTCTTCGCTACGGAACTCGACGAATCCGAAGCCCTGGTGGACTCCCGTGATCTTGTCCTTGGGCATGTGAACGTTCGCCACGGGCCCCGCTTGGATCATCAGCTGTTGTCACCAACGAGGCCGAGCGCCGACAAGACCGCAGAGGGTGCCAATACCGGTGGTGGCGGGCGGGGGGGTTAAGGGAGAAGCAACGACCGCGCTAGCCGGCTGACCGGTGAACAGCTGCGTGCTGCACATGTCTCAAAAATGGGATACGTCACCACGAGCATGCTTTCAAGTCAGAGGGTTCCCCTGCCAAGGGGGGAGTGAAGGGGATTGGAGGACAGGATGACCCGGTGCCCGCATTTGACAGCAACAACACGAAACACAAACACGTACGTAGCACTCCTGCTGCGGCATCTGCTCCTGCTGTGGTATGCAGTAGCATCATCAACGCCCCGCAAGGGAACGCTCTCTGTATCCGACCGACGTATTTTCTTCTATTTGCTCCTTTGGGTTTCGTCAGCACGTTCAGAAGCATCCTCGCCCCTTCGCCCCTGCGAAGGTTTCTCCCCTCTCTGTGCGTGTGACTGTTTAACGAGCACCTAGGGGGCCAATCGGCTGACCAACGGAAACAAAAAAGGTTCAAGCGTGTGTACGTGGGCGTTCGTGCGAGGGGGTAGGTAACATTCAAGGCGCGGGTTGTGCATCAACGAACGGCCATCAGCTTGAGGTTAATTATTGTTTCTCCTTGGTAGAGGGGCGAGATAATGCACGCCGCCTGGGGACGGAGCATGCAAATACTGCTGTACACACAAAATAAGCCCGAAAAAAAAAAGGGGGGCTGAGGTGCCGTAAATGACCCGCAACAAAACTTAATACACTGCAAAACTTTGTGATTCAGCGTGTATTGCGCTCGAATACCTCCCGAAATCAGCTCTTGCGGTAGAGTTCGAAACTTCTTTGCCACCCCCCTTCCCCCCCCCGGTATTTACCATCGGGGTTGGGTTTTCGTCGCTTGGCAACGACGTTGTAAAACAAGCCGCCCCTCCCGGTGTTTGCCATCGGGATTGGGTTTTCGTCGCTTGGCAACGACGTTGTAAAACAAGCCGCCGCCCCCCGGTGTTTGTCATCGGGATTGGGTTTCGTCGCTTGGCAACGACGTTGTAAAACAAGCCAATTCACTTCGTGAGCTCGGCAACCAGGTTACCGTTTTTTTTTTTTACCTCCGTTTTTTTTTTTTGCGGTAACCATAATGGTGGTCGAGTAGATCATGTTGTGCGGGGTGGAGAACCCTCACTCCGCGCAAGGGGGATGATCGCACCACGTTGTGTCAAAATGGTCAAGCACCCTCGAGGCAGTTACACAGTGCTTACAACTGTCTCTGGAAGTGAACGCACCACAAAGTAAATTAATTCATACGCAGCTGTCATCCGTACGCAAG